CCCAGCTGGACCTTGGGGCTGAAAGATTGGCCTCCAATGGTGACGTTCTCTGACAGACAGCGATGTGAGGAACAAGTCTGCTGCCCACCCTTCTTTGCCCAGTGCTGGAGGGTCTCACCCCCCAGCGGGAGCAGCATCCCAGGGTGGGTGCTGTGCCATGGCTCTGCTTTGGCACCTGCTTCCTCTGCTCGGGCTCGGTTCTCAGCCTGTGCACCCTCTCTGTGGCTCCTTTCGTGTCACTCCTGTTGGATGCCTCAACTCCTTCTCTTTGCCTGAATTTCCTGGAGCCTCTCCCTGCGCTGCTCGGACACTAGGTGGCTTAAAGCACAGGCTCTGCTGGCAGCTGCCAGCGACGTTCATTCACTCTTTCTGGTGGGCTCCTTTATTCAAACTTCAGGCTGACAGCAAAACATGGAGATGTCTTTGAATCCGTTGTGGATTCAGATATCACACGACCTCCTTGGCAGCGTGTTTGCAGTCGCGTTGGGGGATTTGAGCCCGTGTAGCAGGAAGAAAGAGGACACTGATGAAATGAATTCAGGGGCTGGGCTGCCTGCTCTGATGATAAGGAGTCAGGAACCTGCCGGCATTGCCGAGTCCTTCCCTCTCCAGGAGATTTCACCATACCCATTTTAAAGGGTGTGAGTGTTCCTCTTGGAAAAAAACATTTCAGGGTTGGCAGCGCCCTTCTTACTGTGCTGATGTGTAATGGAAGATGCTGAGTCTTCAGCGGTGCCCACTGACCCTTCTTTCTGGTCTCTTATCTCAAGTCCAGTTGCAGGCAGAAGGGATTGCTGTAATTGGGAATTTGCCTAATGCATCCAAAGCCTAAAGAAAGGGAGTGGAGCACTTGAATTTTTTTCCCCTCCTGCAGTCTCAGTGTTGTCTCTCTGGTTCAGCCCATAGCTTCTGGCTGAAGTAGGAGCTTTACCTTTTTTAAAATGACTCCAAATACCTTGGAGCAGGTGGGAGGGAGTTGTGGATGCTGAGTTTTGATCAGTTGGCAGGAGCCAAACAAAATGAGGTGGAAGTCTTGCTAAATGCTGATTTTTCTGGGTCCAGGTGCTTGGCTTCAAGGTTAAGCGTTACATTGGTAATATTATTAGGTATTAAGTTATTAGTAATGGAACTGTGGGGCTTGCCTGTACTTGGCAGAGAACCGCTAAGAAACTGTATTAGGGCTGAGTTCATCCTGGTTTCTCTGGTGGTGTCCTTCCAGCACGTCTCACCCTGAGCTGGAGGGAGGAGGAAACACCAATGCGCTTTTTGTGCACTGTCTGCCTTTTGAACTATTTTCTTCGGCGGTTAATGAGTTGTAGCAAGGAGACACAGGCCCTTGTAGGGAGGGATGTGCCTGCACCCCCTCTCGCTGTGTGCAGTGGCTGGGGAGGTGTCAGCTAATCCCTTTCACGCGTGATTGAGCTGCTCTAGAATAGGACCCGGAGGTTCAGGAGTCTGCGCTCCCGGGGCGGCTCTAGAGCCGTCCAGCTGCCGAGGCCTCGTGTGTAATCAGCGCTGCAGGAAAAGGGGCTGCAGGACTGTCAGTTGTTTGGGCCTTTGGGGGCCTTTGGCTCCTTGCCCGCCGTGGCATTTTGGGGTGGTTTTCTCTCCAGAAGGTATCCTATTTTTGTGCTGCCACCAGTGATGCTGTTTTGAAACAACATAGGTTGCTCCCAGATTCTGAGCCATAGGGCTTGTCATTTCAATGACAATACAACAAGTCACCTCAGAGTTGGTCTCTGAGGCTGGTCCTCATCCTCCTGCATGTGAAGTCAGCTGGCAAGGCTGGTCCCAGTGCTGGGAGGGCAGCACAGCACTGCACACACCAGCATCCATCAGACGTGGCAATGAAGGAGGTAGATGAACTCGACAGATTTTTTAGGGGCTTTTGAGTTTTATCCTTTGAAAGAACAGTGGGAGCTGGAAAGCTTAGAAAGAGAATCCTTCCATCTCCTTGATGGGGAAGGGCTGTTTGGAACTGCCACTACAAAATGCATTTTAGCACTCAGGAGGGGCCAGTGGAGCAAGTGCTGAGAGTCTGTCTGGTGGGTTTGGAGAAAAGTTGACTGGTCAACATTTCCTAAAAGTACGAAATAGTCTGGTTCTGGTCCCTGCTTGGACTTGAAGGTAGGCCTGGCAGTTGACTGTCACTTATAAAGCCAGTTCTTTTCTTTCTGGTTTTGCTTCTCCTTCCAGTAGCAAAGTGACCAGGACTTTTATTCCTAAGCAGTATGAACTGCCCAGCCCTACACCTTCCCCAGTGTGGCCAGGCAGAGCCTTCTAAATTAGATGGGATTGTAACTGGCGTAAATGCAAACTGAGCTATGTGATCACAGCCTGTGGCTTCGAGGTGTCTCCTCCTGCCCCACTCAGCCCATCCCCATCCAGGGAGAGGGGGGGGCTGCACAGAATCACACTTGTCTGCGTGCTGCACGGTGAGCCTGGCAGAGCAGTTGGGAGGCTGGCAAACAGCTCCCAGCGTGGCTGCCTCCCTGGTGGCTGTGTCTGCAGAACATCCTCTCCATAGGGCTGCTGGTGACGAGCCCCTCCCTCCACCAGTGCCTCAGGCTGGCCCAGCTTTATACCAGGGGAGCAGTGTCCTTTCACACTGGTGAGCCAGCAAAATCTCTCCCAGGGGTTATTGTAACCTCTCAGCAGCGATTTGCAAACAGGCATTCAGAGATAAAGTCTTGGTGCCGAGCTCAGGGCCAGTAGGGCAGATATGAAACGCGGCAGGTTTATGAAAGGGAAGGTGTATGAAATGCAGCCTGCATCTCCCATTTCACTGCACTATGCCAAAACACACAGTTTCTTATTTCAGTCACTGTGATCTTTCAAGGAGGTTAATTTCCATGACGAACTCCGGGCCACGTGCTTGGAGGATTTATCTAATTAGACTGACACTTTTCTTTTTTAAAAAAGAAAATTAAGCTGCACCTTGGAGGACTTAAGTATTTTAAACTGTGGGAGCGGCAGCAGGCAGTGTGATCCCTGCTCACAGAGCAGGGAGAGAGGAAATTTCCCCTTTTCCAGTCTCCTATTTAAGACTTCACCAAAGGTCCCTATTTTCTCTAATTTTCTTACATGGTGGCTGGGTGCTAAAGAGTGTTTTATCCTGCCTGAGTCCCTAAAACCTCAGCTGGCTCTTTAACTCATGTAAAGTATTGATGTTCTGGGCTGTTACGTATTCAGGATGGAGCGGAGGGTAAAGGAGAGACCTGTTAATGCTCCTTAGCCATGTCCTAGAAAAACTGCCCTCCCAGGGCAGGGAACAGGGTGCCTGCACCATATATAATGGCTGAGGTAGGTGTGTGTGCCTCTCACCATGCTTGAGCACCTCGTGCTCCTGGATGTGTGTGTCCTTGGCTTGTCTGTGGTCACACAGAAAAGGGAGTCCCGGGAGAACCCCCTAGTCCTTCATCCAGCCTTGTTGCAGTTGCATCATGCTCGAATTTCCTTCTGAAAATGCCTTTCAGACAAGACCTGGGACCGTGCTGTAGTGAAAATAGAGGATTTTAGGTTGAGGCTGCTACGTGCAGGTGAGCCCCACGCTTTCCTTGACTGGATCTCTTCCACACTTGCAGGCACAGTGAATGATGCTGGTTTTGTTCCCATCAGAGGGCTCCTGGAGTCCTGCTCACACTCCTGCCTGCTGCCTGCCCGTTACTTGGCAGCTCCTTGTGTTGCTGCTTGTGAATCCAGGTTCAGATCACTTCAGGTCTGGTACTGCTCCAGCTGTTTCTCCTTGCAAAGGAGATGGAAGGAAGGTCTTTGCAGGGCACTGTATTTGCTGCACTAAACTCAGACAACTCAGACCACATTTTCCTGCAGCCCAGGCTGGAGCAGAGTAGCATTTGTGGGGTCTGGGGTGGATGGGGAGGGAAGTGTCCACGCAAAAGGGGCCAGATGAGAACAGCCTTGTGAATTGTGGTGATAATACAGTGAACCCCAGGGAGCTGTTCATGGTGCAAGACTGCACTGAGGGAGAAAAACACGGCAGCCTCATCCAAGGAGATGGTCACTGGGTGTGCTACAGTACCAGCTGATATGCTGAGGAATCCGTGGTGGATAGCACCCAAGATTTCATTTTAATTTGTCTTTGGTGAGGAAAGGAAAAAAAATAAATGTTTCCTTTCCTATTCCCCCACCTATGCAAAAGAAAAATAGAAAGAAAAACACTAAAATCTGCCAGGCACTCAGAGGTCTAACCAATAAGAGCCCTGTTGGCTGGGGAGCGATCGTTCTGGCTTGGTCAGCCATCCCTAACAAGTTAGGGGTTGTATAAACTCCCAGCCTACAGCTGTAAATTTAGTCAATTTTGAATACAGCCACGAGCTGGCTCAGCAGGATCTGAAGCCGTCTGCTCCAGTAGTCCTGGTATGCTCGAAATTCCCAACTTCGGGGGGCCCCAGCTCTGGACACGTGGAACTGGGCAGGGCCAGATCCTGGATTGCACCCCCACAGCCCTGCTGGACCCTGGATTGAGAGACATCTTCCCAACATAAGCTGCGGTGTTAATTTATCTTTTCCTGGCTTTGAGCTTCCCTGCCTTGGGGGGAATGCCTCTTGATCTCCAGAGCAGCAGGTCCACTGCCCCTGTGCCTCTTCCTGCCCCTTACTGGAGACAGGGAGCTTGTGGGGGAGCCTCCTTTGCTGAGAGTTTCCCAAACACCGCCTGGCACAGCAGGGCTGTCTCTGCTGGATGGTGTCACAGCTGGGCAGGATTTGGTCCATGTGCAGTCTGGGGCCCTTCCTGCAGTGTCTGCTCAGTCCTGTGCTGAGCTGGAGTCAGTGGGTGTTTGCTTGAGTGACTGGGAGCAAAAGGAGAGTTCTGACTTCAGGGTTTGTTGCTGTGGAAGGGACGGTTCTCTCTAAACACCTCTAATGTTGCAATGTTGGATACTCCTAGAAAGCTGAACTTTTGGCTTGTCGGCACTGAATCCTGCTGCAAACAGCAGCATGTTGCTTGCTTTGAAGGGGAATTTAGCCCAGACACACAGTTAACTTTGATCACCTCTTACATGTTCAGAAATTGGACAGTTAACAGCCATTTCATCGTGTTTCTGATGGGGAAGCATTTGGTCCGAGACAAATCATTTTATCTTGGAACGAGACATCGAGTACTGCCAGGTTACTGTCACTGACCCCTTGGCTTCAGCAAAACTGATGGCATATTTTCTGTTTGCTGGAATGGGCTTGGAAGGTAGAGATGGCTTGAGGGATGGCTGACCCCAGAGCTCCTCAGTGTGCTCCTGGCAGCCTCTGCCCTGGGCTGCTGCCCGGCTCTCTGACCACCTCACGCCCATCGTCACTGGAGCAGATGGGCTGCCTGGTTCAGGCTCCTCCAGGTGTGGGAACAGCGAGGGCAGGGGTTTATGGGGATAATGTGGCTTCAGGCACAGTGAGTGTTGGCTCCTGAATTCAACTTCCTACAAATACATGAAAAAGAGTGGTATCAAATAAAAGGATTGTGAGAGGTTTCTTCTCCCATCTTCCTCCTCTCCCCTGTGGAGCTGTGCTGGCTCTGGCTCCCAAAGGGTTAAGGTGACTCATGCCCCTCTCACCAGATCTGCTGGCAGGAACGCTTCATCCCAGCCACTAATTGGTGGTGTTTGCTCTGCACTTTCTCGCTCTGGTTTTGATGAAAACATTTAACCAGGAGCTTAGTGTGCAGAGGCTCCCAGCTGACAGCGCCGCGCTGGCTGCGCCATCCTCGCTGTGTAAATTCAGCTGAGGGGTGGCAGGGGAGGGCAAACAGCACAGCAGCACAGCTCCTGGCCCCTTGGTTCTGCTCCTCAGGATGCTCTTACCTGCAGGAATCTTTAGGGTCCAGGCCCATATTCGCTCTAGTCCACAGGTGCCTTTCTGTACCTGGACGGCCAGTGGCATTGGGAGCCAGTTCAGCGCCTTGGGACAAGGCTGCAGAGGTGGGCAGAGAGGTCCTGGTAGGGCCTGGTCTTACCTGAGAGCAGAGGGATGACTTGGTAGGGTTTGGGAGGTCTGTTCCCACACCATCTGGCTGCAATCCTGGGGGATTCTCCTGCAGAGAACAGGCTCCAACAGGCCCTGTGCCATGGAGGGGAGTGAAGCTATTGGTTCTGTTACGTGGAGATGACCTACTCATTCCTTCCTATGCCACTTGGAAGCTTGTGCAGGGTTTTCCCAACACAGTCTTTCATTGCAGCTGTTTCAAGTAATAACCTGCTTGTCTATAGGCCCTTCTAATGGGCTTCACACGAAGAAGCCTGAGCTGATTTTAGTTTTTGCCATGCAAGTGGCACAGAAGTTACCATGTCCTTATGGAGTCAGTCTTGAGAGTGGGCATGTCCAAGCTCCTCAGTTCCTACGTCACAGAACCCTTAGGCAGCAGCAGAAACTGAAACAGTCCCTGGGGGAGATGCCAGTTTATCTGTGTTGCTGCTGGAAAATGCATTCAAATTTCTGCCCAAACAGGAGATTGTGACATGCACGAAATTCATCTGAGCCCGTCGGGGCTGCCACTGCTCTGATATTTCTTTACTTTTCTCTCCTTATCTCTGGTGATCTACCCTATGAACAGCAAAACAAATCCAGATGGGAAAATTTATAAACCAGAAAATCTGGATTCCCCGTTCCTGGAAAAGCATGATTCCTTGTTCTAAGCCGCCTCCGTGTGTCATGGGGTCTGCCATGAAAAGGTGCCAGAACTGTTGAAAGAGGCCAGGCCTGTGTGTGCGTTGGGGAAACAGAGCAGCAGTGTAACACCCTGTGTGAGTGTGGATTCCCAAGGGAGATGGGCTGCTCTGGGGAAGCCGGATTTGCCCAAGGGAGGGTTGATCAACAAAGGCATTTGTCCTCTTTCGATCCGTATGAGGACCTTGCTCCACATCATTCTGCTGAACTGATTATGCCTATTGAGGGAAATTTTCTGCCTCTTCCCTCTGCCTGACTATTGATAGTCTGGAACCAAATCCACGTGTCTCATTAAACACGGAAAGAGCTGGGCCAGGCCCCCACTGCACAACGTGCTGCCTGTTATCAGCCCGGAGAAAGGGGAGCGAACAGGTGTAGGATAACAGTGCAACTGAGAGAGACCAAAGTGCATCATAAAATAAACAAACAGCCCGTGCTCCAGCTCCCCCAGATGCACCATTGAGTTGCAGGGTCTACAGTGTGCTTTAGAACGTGCTCTGAGCAAGTGCCCGCTCGGGGCACCGTTTAATTTGCAGCCAGAAATGGGTTGATGGTTTTCTGCATCGTGGAGGGAGGGTCTGGAAGCCCCCCCTGCCCCTTGGGTTGTGCTCGGGGCTCCAGGAGCATCTGGGCCTTCCCTCTTGTAAGGGAAGGCGGTGACTGCTGTAACTGTGACCTTCACAACCTTTACTGTCTTCAGGGAGGAGCCCATCCAGCCCCTGCTGTGTGACACTCTTTCCTCCTGAGATCTCTTAGGTGCAGATATTTGTACCAGGATTTTATTTGATTTCTTTGCGCCTCCTCTTGCTGCGAGAATTTCTGTGTTGCCCCTTGTGCTTTGGGGCTGGCAGAGCTTGCAGTGGTGCTGCTGGCATTTCGTTGCATGTAGTGAAGCAGTGGCTTGGCTTGTTGTGCCCCAGCAGCAGCCAGAGCTTCAGTGTCTGAGCGTGACTCAGCCCCTGGAATTGTGCTTACCCAACAATACCTTTTGTCCTTTGCCCAAAACTTCTGGCCAAGGAAAAGGGAAAAAGGAGGAGGGAGAAAAGAAAGAAAAGATAAAATTCTGCATTTAGCTGTCCTTTCATCACAGGTGGTGCCAGTTGGTTTTTGCTTTATTTGTACAAGGTGGGGAAAAGAGAAAAAGAAAACAAGGTGGAACTCGGACAAGGCCCAGGAAATGTTTGAACCTGACAACAAACTTCCTTTGTTCAGGGGAGCGGGGGAAAGAGAACAGAAAAAAGGGGTAGACCAGCTGAAACCAACCTCAGCCCTGTTCCCTTGGGCAGGTTTCTTCTTCCTACTCTTTATTGTTTGGGGTTTTTTGTTTTGCTCAGGTGTCTTGTGATAATTTTGTTTGCGCAAGGGCCTTTGTGTGCTGCCTTCTAGAAGGTGGACAGATGAAAGGTTTCCTGGGGACACATTTGTTATTTGGATGGGCAGGATTTATCATTTATTCTATCATATATCTATCATTATCTATCATTTATACATGCTTTGCATGATCCTTCTCCTCCAGCCATGAAGATCAAGATGGCTAGAAGGGAAGGATGAAGGACCATGCTTCTCAGGAGGAGAGACAGATGAGCAATTTAGGGGCTAGGCAGACAAATCATGATTAAAATGCAGAAACCAGAGGGTTTTGTTGATGAGAAAACAAAGAGAGCCATGAAGGCAGCTGTCAGGGATGCTGCCTGGGGGACTCCTGAGTACCACCAAGCGCTAGGACACAGACCTCCCTTTTTTGCAGGTTGGCACAAAATCTCTTGCTGAATTGCCTGCAACGTTCTTCTTCCAAAAGAAGAATTGGGAGTTGTGGGATAGCTGCCCAAGGGGCGCTGGAAATCAGAGTGACCTTCTGCTGTGTGGGACAAAATGGATCCTGGTGGGGTTGGGTTTCAGCCGGTTTGTTGGGGCTCACCGTGGGTCCAGCCAGGGCCACACAGCACTGCTGGGCTGCCTGGAACTTGGCAGGAGCAGTTACAAGTGTTTTCCCATCCAATCAGGTGGTGAAGGCTCTCTCTGCCAGGCACCTGCCTGCAGGCCACGTGCTGTGTGTTCAGTACAGCTGGGCTGGGGTGACACTCAAGGGATCTGTTCCTCTCAGATGCTCTTCCCGAGAACGCTGCCTGCTGCCCTCCCAAATTGCCCTGTTACTTCTTAGCTGTTGCCTCTGTGCAGTGCTGCAGTGGTCCTGTAATGCTGGAATAGCTGGGTAGCGAGGAGTCCAGGATGAAAGGCTGTTCAGGCGTTTTTTGGCCAGGTTAGAACTATATTACACAGCGCTTAATTAATCTCTTTTATCTCATTTAGGTATCACAAAGCGTTGTGTCAAAATTAGTGAGCAAAATTGTGGGTATCACCTGTAGGGCAGGTACTGGCCATGCTCCCCAAAGAAAGGTTAAATGTTTTGACTTGGCTGGGAGGAGGGGAGGTGTCCAACGTTCAGTACATGAAAAGGAAGAAAGAAGAGCCGAGTATCAGTCACTGTGTGGAGCTGGACTGATGGGATACTTTCCTGAGGTGTCTTGGGGATTCTTCTGATAATGGCCAAGTCACTGCCATGCCTGTTACACTGAAGTAATCCAAAGGTGCTGCCAGTGAAAACTTTTCCCCTGATACTGAGGAAGTGGATTCCCTGTATTGCATTAACTGGGACATGGATCCTTAGCGACCTTTCTTTTCAGTGCATGTTCCCTCTGAGTTTCATCAAACAGCCCTGGAGCTGCTCTTTTCCTGAATGTACTGCTAAGCCTGGGGATCTGGGATCCCTGGGCTGCAGGACATGATCCCAATTAAATAACTCCAGAGCAGAGACTGAATTCAGTGAGTCCCAGGCAAAAGCTGGAACACTTCCACTACAAAATATGCTACTCCAGATTTACACCAGGAGCTGCCACATTCCGACGCTGGTCCTCAGTCTTTGCCTTAGTTTTTGTATCTGCACAGTGGAGATAATAAAACTTGCCTCCAACACAGCTTGTGGCTGAGAATTAAGGAGCAGTTTCCAGAGCCAGACTGAAGGCAGCTACGGAACACGGGCTGTATTTTTGCTGCTCGTGTATTTGTCTGGAGTTTGGAAATTAGGGCCCGAGCGAGACCCAGAGAGGCAGGTGAACACACTTGCTGCGTTTCCTCTCCGGAGGCGCTCCGGGGAAACTTGCCCAGGGGTCTCGAGGGAAGGGGCTGGCACGGGGGTGCTGGCAGCAGGAGCCGTGGTGGCGGCTTTCCTGCCGTCCATTCCGAGCACAGGAATGACTGTGGGGAACGATTTCAAAGCCACCACTATGGAGATTAAGGGGATGAGAATGTAAATCTCAAGTAAAAAGGTAATTGAATGTAATAGCAAACACTGCTCGGTCTATGTTAATTTTAGCTCTTCCCCTGGATACAAGGCGCTGTATTAGTGTTTTATTACCATTTTGTTTGCACTAATAAAATAGTAAAATTTATTTCAAGGAAGTTGAAGGATGGTTTTACAATGCAAATTTGAAGAAATTGGACTTTTCATTTACGCCACTGCTATTTTAAACCCTGAAGGGTGTAAATTAGCCTCCTGTGCCTGGGTGAAATCCACTGCTTCCACAAGCAGGGGGAGGATTTGATGTGGGGGAGAAGAGAACAAAACCAAATCATCTGAATATTTCAGAGAGACAGAGATATCTGATGAGGAGAGAGAAAAAAAACCTGCCTGCCTGTGCCCACTGAGCAGAAGGGCTGGAGCAGAGTGGGAAGAGCTGGTGAGACACAGGTTTGTGCTGGTGAGCAGCTCCAGCTGCCGTGGGCGTCGGGAAGGGGCAGAACAGGGCAGGGGGTGCCCCCAGACACGGCCGTGCCCGCGCTGCCCGTGAAGGAGGTGCGGGAGCTGGGGCTCAGCTGATTAACAGATGCTGCCAGTGACAGACAGTTCCTAGAAGTGTGGGAGCCTTGGGCAGGCTTTGCTTTCCGGCCCAGGGGACCCACACTTCCCATGCTGCCTGTACTTCTCTCTTTCTCTCGCTGTGCTGTCTTCACCTTCCTGCCGTGGCCCGGCCCATCCGGGCTCTGATTCACCGCTGAGTCACGGCGCTGCCAGGGAAGGTGTCTCCAGCCCAGGAGGCTGGTTCAGTGACCTCCTCCTTCACCCAGGACTCCTCTTGGGCACCAAATGGAAAGGGATGGGCAGATTACCTGGTCCCTTTCACCTTTGTAAAGTTGTTTATAACAGTGCTGTTCTCATGATCCTATAAAGGCCGAGCCACAAGAATCGGGTCCAGAGAGCCATGTTTGGTTCCAAAGGTCCTGCACTGGGCTGGCCATGTGCCTCTTGGAGGGAGGTGTCTCAGGGTGTAGAAGCATCCAAAGCCCAGCAGCTTTCTTAGACTTATTCTGAGTTTTTGCCACAGGTCTGAAAATCTCACGAGGTAACTGTGAGGGCTTCATTCTCCCTGTGGAAAGGGAGGTGTGGAACAGGAGTTGTAAATTCCCTTTTTTCAAATCCCAGAGGTCCTGTTCCCCTGCCGGGGAAGGCTTTGAGTTACTGTTTTCTGTTGATGTCCACCTTGCTCACACCTCAGTCTTCACACAACACTTGAATGAAGGGAGCCATGCTGAGTCTCTCCTGAAT